CGTGAACCAGCGGGACCTCAGACGGAGACCCCGACACCACCATGAACCAGTGGGACCTCAGACGGAGACCTTGAACACCACCGTGAACCAGCGGGCCCTCAGACGGAGACCCCGACACAGCAGAATAGCACGTCCCTCCGGCGCATGAGGAACCGTCTCCAGGAGAGACCGCCCGGGAGTCAAACAAGCTCACTAAGTTTACAAAGACTGGCAACATACAAAGTATGCTCCCCAACCACCGCAATGAAATAAAAGTGGAAATCAATAATTAGAAGAAATTGGGGACATTCAGAAATACCAGGAAATTAAAAACCAAAAACCAAAACCCTTCTAAATAGCCAGTGTGTGACAGAATCATAAAGGAATTAGGAAGTACACCGTGTGTGCTGTGGGCCCCTTTCTAGTCCGCGGTCACTCTCCGCTGGCTCTGAGCCCTGGAACACCCACAGGCAAGAGGAGGAACAGACTGGCTGGTTCCCGCTTGCCCGTTCTGAGATGCTTGCAAGAACAGTTTGTTCGGATGCGTGCGTCTGTGAATGCAGTTTCACCTGCTCTGGTTTGTGGCCATTAAGCTCCAGTGCTGAGTGGCGGGAGATGCTGGTGTGGGTGGCGAAGCCACAGGACCCAGGCGTGCATCTGTCCCCCTGACTACTTGCTGGTGACCTCAGCCTTGGTGACCTCGTCTGAGTAATCAGGACAGTCACTCCACCGCACAGGGCTGGTGGGAGAGTTAAAGAAGGGATGTCCGCAAGTGCGTGGCAGGTGCCCACGATGTCACAGCAGGCACAAAACAAAAAAACCTCACCGCCACAGCATCCATTCCGATCAGCGACCCTACAGGGCAGAGCAGAACTGCCCCAGAAGGTTTCTAAGGTGCAATCTTCATGGACGCAAACTGGCACATTTTTCTCCCCTGGAGTGGCTGGTGGGTTTGAACCGCCAACCTAGGTTAGGAGCCAAGTGCTTAATCGCTGCACCACCAGGGCCCCTGACATATACCATCTGCTGCCATCAACTCAACTTGCAGCAGCCCTGCCAGGCAGAGTGGAACCGCTCTGTAGGTTTCCAAGGCGGCAATCTTTATGGAGTGGTGCACTGCTTAAAGTCCTTCAAATCCACCAGCCACTCTGCAGAAGATAAACATTACAGCCTGGAAACCTTCACGCAGTTCTACTCTGTCCTACAGGTCACTATGAGTCAGAATTAACTCGATGGCAGTGGGTTGGAATCTCTTTGGAAGCTGACTACCACATCTTTCTCTCACAGAGCGCCTGGTGGGTTTGAACCCAAGAGCTTCGGTTAGCAGCCAAACATCTAACCACTGTGCCCAGGGCTCCTTCCCGACACACAAGCACCTGGTAACAGCCCTGTGCAGAGCTCAAAGCCACTGACACTGTCCAAGATGCTTATGCCCTTAGAAACAGGATACAAGAGCCAAGGATAGATGCCAGCCAGGTCCCCTGAGGGCCTGCCTCTAACTGCTGGCACTGGGAGTCCCTGCTTGAAATGCAGGTCTGTTTGGCAGGATGCCGCGGGCCAGCCCCTCAGTGTCGGGGTCATGCACCTGCTGACTTTGGTAGCCCAAAGTGCTGTGCACGGAGCACACGTGCACCTGAGGTCGTTGGTGAACAGACACTGTGAGGTGTGCACCCAGCCTCAGCGCTGGCCTGCTCCCGTGGAGCTTGTCTGCAGGCGATAAGGGGAAGGCAGCCATTCTGTGGAGTCTCAGGGTTCAGTAAGGCCTGGGTTCAGGTCACAGTGAAGGTCAGACTTATTCAAGATTAAATTCTGATTCAGATGCTGAAAGCCAGAGGTAGGCCGGCCTGTGTGCAAAGCACATGGGTTGGTGATTCTGGCCTCTGGAGGCTAGCTGGGTCTGAACTCAGGACGTGAGAGCTGAGTGGGGGCCGCAGCCCCACCTGCCACCTTGGCCAGCCAACGGGAGGGACCTGAGACCAACCACGAGCTCGCGGGGAAAGGGACCTTCCCAGGATGCACAGGAGCCCCTCTTGGAACCCTCCGGGGTCACTCCCCCGGCTGCTGGGGACACATGTCATCTCGTCCCCTCATGCCTGCTCCCAGCACCAAAGCCATGCTCCCTGGTGGGTGCCGTGTGCCACTACCATGCCATATGCACACGTGCAGCCCTGGGTCCCGGGCGTGGCTGGAGCCTGACACCCTCTTAGGGCTTCCTGGTCCCGCTCAGGATGGGACAAGTCCAGATGGGCTCGGCCTGCTCACCTACCCGGAGGGGTTTCATGTAGAACCCCCACGTGTCAGGGTAACCTGCCCAGAACGCTGGGTGGGTCCCCGAAAGCAAGCAGGCCAGAGTGTAGAATACCCGTGGGGAGCCCACTGTGGGCAGGCTGACCTTGCTGCCGCCTCCGTCAGGACCGGCCTGCCGCCGTCACCCCGGGGCTGGATCGTGTGAACGCGTCCAGCTCAGACGCACGGTCTCTGAGGCGCCGCTCACTCACCCCCACCCGCTGCTCAACAACCCCGGCCTGGCACACTTCTTAAGCCCTGGTGGCGCTGTGGTTAAGCACTAAGCTGTTAGTGAAAGGCTTGGTGGTTCGAACCTACCAGCTGCTCCTCAGGAGAAAGATGTGGCAGTCAGCTTTCGTAAAGATTTACCGCCTTGGAAACCCTCTGGGGCAGTTTCACTGTGTCTGTTAGGGGCGCTGTGAGTCAGAACTGACCCGACTGCAGTGGGTGTGGCTTGGGCTTTGCTTCCATAATGATTTACAGCCTTGAAAGACCCTCTGGGGGCAGTTTTTCTCTGTGAGCTAGGGGCGCTGTGGGTCAGAGTTGACTCCATAGACGTGGACGAGTGCATTTCTTGGAGTCCCTGGTGGTGCAAACAGTTAGCACTGAGAGGTTGGAGGTTCGAGTGCCTGGAAGCAACTCAAGAGAAGGCGGATGACGTACGTCTGAGAAACCCGAAAGCCTGCGGAGCCTGTTCTACTCTGACCCGCGGGTCTCCATGGGTTGGAACCACGGGTCTGAGCTTTTTCCCTTTAGGATGGTGCTGGAGCCCTGGGTGGCCCTGTGGTGAACGCAGGGGTTGCTGACTGGGAGGGTGGGGGTTCAGGCCTACCAGAGGAGCCTCAGAGGACAGACCTGGTGGGATCCTTCTGAAAACTCAGCCTCTGAAAACCCCATGGACGGGGGCGCTGTCGATACAAGACGTGTGGGGATCGGTGAGTGGAAGATGCTGTGCTCCACAACCTCCTCTCAGAGCACGGCACAAAGTGAAAAATCAAAAGCATTAGGGTTCTTGGTCCCTGAGAGGGGTGGGATATAGGGACCCAATGGGATGAACAAACAGAAAAGTAAGGCACCTTCCAAGGGCAGGTCGACTCTGACCCCTGCGGGGCGCCGGGGTCAGGGCTGACTCCACACCACGCTACCGCGTTCGGCCTGTGCGTCCCCAGCACGGAAGTCACGTGCTGACAGGTGGGCCTGTCCCACGTGTGGATCTTAGAGCAGCAGCTTTGAGGTGCTGTGTGAGGGGCGGAGGGGCCCGGGAGGGGCTGTGGGCTAGTTCCAGGCCCTTCCTTTGCTCCCCTCCTCTGTGCCGTGGCGCCCTTTATCATCGGCCGGGCCTGGAGGCCCCAGTAAGACTTGCTCTCTGAGTCAGGCCTGCCGGTCGCGGCCCAGAAGCAGGCGCCAGCACTCACCTCCGACCCGGACGCGTCCACGGACTTCTCCCTGAGGTTCACGCTCTCGGTCAGCGCAGCTCCGTTGTACTTGTTGCAGATGTCCTCATCTGAGTAATGCAGGCCGCCCGGGCTGGGCCGGGGAGGGGACCTAGGCAGGGGGCACAGGGCAGCTGTTACCCCGAGCCGGTGGCTCCAGCCACTGTGTGACCTTCTTTGTTTTTCCTCCCAGAAGGCAGCTGGCCTCACGAAACTGCACCACCACCTAGTCTTCAGCGTGCACTTCAAGGTCTGAGTGTCCCTCCTTGGGGACAGAAGAGACACTTGGAGCAAGAGGGGTGAGCAGGTACTACTGTAAACTCCTCTGTGACAAGCCCTTCCTGGTCTTGAAATTATGTGCAATTGTCTTTTCATTTTTTTTTTAATACAACAGAAACATGTGCCCTGCCAGTGGCCAAATGAAATAAGCGAGTGGGTGTTCCCACTGCCGTCCTGTGGGCCCTAAGGCAAGCAGTGCAGGGCTGTAAGCCACCTTGTTGCGGGCAGGTCCCCGGGTGGGGCCCCCAGAGAGGCAGCTGCAGGTACAAGGTGCCTTGAGTGACCTGTCTCCCTGAGAAAGAGGGGCCTCTCTGCTGTGGGCCTCAGTACCACTCAGAGGACTGGAGATTCCCAAGCTTAGCAGGATGGGTCGGATCTGGCCACTGCTCGGTCTGTGGGTTTTGGAGACAACGAAGGGGAAGTGGGAACTTTTCTGGTCTGTCTTGATGGTATGTCATTTCACTTCCTTTCAATGAAAAATAAACCAAAGTTTGCCATGGGACCAGAAGAACTGGATGGTGCCCAGCTACCATTACTGAATGTTTAGATCAAAGATTCTATAGAAGAATTCTGACCAAAAGGGGTAAAATGTGGAACAGATTTTTAGATTTTCATGGAATCCAGACTTTTGGAGCCATGAGGCTGGATGAATCCCTGAAACTACTGCCCTGAGACAATCTTTAAACCTTTCCTCCAAATACCCCCCAGTCATCTTCAAACAAACCCACAACTTAGCGTAATTAGTAGAGAAAGCCTGCCTTCAGCCCGGCGCTCTTTCTAAGAACCATCTGTATGGAATCAAGCCGACAGCAACCATCCCGAAGGCTGGAAGTTCGGGGGCAGTGGGTTTATGTTAATGGGGGAGGGGAGGACGGCTGCACAACTGAAGGCTGTGACCAGTGTCACTGCGTGGAACACGTGGAGTTTGCTGAACTGGGGTGCGATCCGCTGTGTGTGTTCTGCACCCCACAAAAACGAAATAAGGTGTTAAATAAATAAATGATAAATAAATAGATAAACCACAGTCTGACCCAGTGAGGAGAGGCACCCTAATGCTGGGCCCAAGAAGCCCCTCCAAAAAGCATCCGCAGGTTTTTACCTGATGCTCAAGACCCTTTCCCTATCCCGGCCCCTCCCCCGGTCAACAGACGGGACCAGGAGACAGCACTCTGCCATACAAGGGCACATCAAGGTCACCTGTCTTCTCTGGGAATTCTTTACTTCCTGCTAAACCACAGGGCCGAGGGCTAAAGGGCTGTGTGGTGGTCATCCTGGTCTGGGCTTCTGTGCACGGGCTTGAGGGCAGCCTGCCTTACAACGGCAGAACTTCGGACCATAAACCAAAGCAACCACACCCGCTGCCGTGGAGTCCATTCCGAACCACAGCGCCCCTAGAGGACAGAGTGGAACTTCCCACAGGGTCTCCAAGGCTGTCAATCTTCACAGAAGCAAAGCCCAAACCACACCCACTGCCGTGGAGTCCATTCTGACCCACAGCGCCCCTAGAGGA